AGTAAAGTAGAAGAAAGGGGCGGCCAAACCAAGATGCGCTACCAGCCGAAGAGGTCATTGACAATTGGACTGAACCATAATACTAGGTCTAGACCGTCTGGTTGGAGTCCATGTGATCATAACTAATCGTTAGAGACTGAGTGATACACCTCAAAATAGTTTCCAATGGCACAGATGCATTCATTCCTTTAGATCTTGAATCTTCGAGTCTCGATTTGATTTTTTCCTTTACAACCTAATCTTTCCTACTACTACTGATACTTCTAAAAATCTGAGATGTACCATGATGTTTGTATATCACTGTTAATGTTGTGTGGTAACTTGAATCGATGCAAATATATATCGAATTCTATTTTATATACGACTGTGCAAAACATAGGTCGACTAACGACGAGAAATATAAATTCTCTCGTTAAAATCAAACATTTTGACAGAAGTTCGTTTTTAAAAATGTTAGGGTTATGTTGAATTCAATGTCTGCAATAACAGGAAAATAACAGCACATTGTTCCTTGTAGCTCTTACATCGTACAGATCATTATTGCTGAATATCAGTAGCATCGCTTAAATAGAAACATTTTTCGTCCACTAATTATGTGGTTGACGGTAAATTGAAACAGTTTATCCTTTTTTTCTACGCAAGTAAGTGTAGAATTTCGCCATACAAAACCTGAACCATTCACAATCGAAAACATCGATATGATAGATAAATACGAAGGCCAAAAAACAAAGTTAACACAATGGTGTAAGTGTATACACTCTTTGTCTTCGTTTAAACCATGAAAAATGAAAATCGATTCATATCTTTCTTTCTAAGAACTATGGTGCACATGGGCTCCAGTATCCTGCGGGAACAAATGGCGTATGAACCAATTGTTGGTCACCGGCTTCCATGGGACTGCATCTCCTTACGATGCTCCACTGCCTTGTGGGTTAGACCTTTAGATCAAAGGCTCGGGGAGTGGCCCCCTAAGAAGGTCCCCTTCTTCGGTTTGGGCAGCCGGGCAGTATCACAGCCCTCACACAAATCGAATGATTTATGTGGCGCATATCTACTTGGTGCCTCCTTGTACCAATATCTATGTGTTAAAATAAATAAATAATAAACTCTAGACAAGCGATTAAGGTATACTACTATGAACCGGCAAGGAGCAAGTTCAAAGTTATTGAAGCGAAAAGATTTGAAACAGAAAATGAGAAATTTGCAGGAGTGTATAAATTTTCCCCCATAAAAAAATCACAGTGAAATAATAATTAAAGCTTGTAGTATAGATGAATGGTTTTTGTTAACATGTGTCAATCAGTCAGCTACAACATAGGACCAGGGAAACATATGCATCGGTCCAAGTTGCCATACCACATCAGCACAACAAAATGATATGTGTTCTCTGGATGGGTTGATTTAATAATGAACAAAATCACTGACGCTATCAGTAAGGATATGAATTTCCTTGTGGCTGACATACAAGACAAAATTTTTTACTCTTTTGTTGAAATATATACAGACTGTGCAGATCGCCTCAATACTATTTAAAATAGATGGGTTGTGCCTAAGAGTGGGATTCAGGACGTTTTTTGTCCTTCTTGAAACTCGTCAACTGGATGTGTGTTAGCGGGATATAGATGATATTAGAATTTGTTTCATGTAGGAATGTGTCGGAACACATTAATTGTCCATTTACTAACCAATTAGCTCTAGCAGGTTCTCAAAAAAGACTCTAGAATCATATTGTGTAAAATTATAAATATGCTAACGTCTTTCTTATTAAGATTATTACTCCCATTCAACCTTGTTTACTCGAAATTTAATTACGTTCCCGTTCAACCGTGTTTGGTTTGGGGATTGGTCGAGTGAAGTTAGGTGTTCGAAGATTACTAAGCAATAAGAGTTGATGGGTCGTAATAAAAGAGTTCATAACAATGTATTTCCGCTTAAATTGTCTAAACCAATATTTGTAAATTTGTAAACGCTTCTACAAAAAAAAGAACAGTGTTACCTAAATCGCCCTTAAATGCCCTAGTACGGCCAAGAGTTGGGAGAGTCATCTCTTCCTCTCGAAACGCTCTTAAGAGGCCACGTGCATATAACCACTGCCAGGGAAGTTCTATTCACTTCCCTCTCGCGGTTAGGGTGTTGTTTAAGAAATCGAGAGGACAAAAAGCAAATGTCCGGCGCTTTAGCCGAGTTGGTGGAAATGGAGAGTCCACCTAGGGGAGTTGGAAAACCCTGATTTCAAGCCAACGATGTACATGGGCTCCAGTATCCTGAAGGAACAAGCGGCATATTAACCTATTGTTGGCCACCGACTACCATGGGACTTCATCTCCTAACGTTGCTCCACTGTCTTGTGGATTAGACCTTTAAGTCAAAGGCTCTGGGTGTGACCCCCTAAGAAGGTCCCCCGCTTCGGTTTGGGCACCACCCGGACAGCATCCCATCTCTCACACAAATCGAATAATTTATGATAAGCATATCTATTTGGTGCCTCCTTGTACCAATATTTATGTGTTTATATAAATAAATAAGTAATATAGAATAGTTCTCAAGCATTAATGAAAACAATTTAGAATAATATAAAAATTTTGAAATGTTCATGTTATCTATCGAATGTTATATTCATTGAAATAGTACTCACTTTAAAGCTGCATCATTAAAACCAGATGGACCACATATTAAACAAATTGTCTGCGATTCAAAATTGTCAATAATTTCTTGATTAAAACATTGACGACATAATTCATCGGTTATATGTCCATATAACCAATGGTTATTATTATCACTATCAGTAATGCATAATGGTTCAGATAGAACGTGAGTAATAGAAAATCTATAAATAAAAAGAAACAAAGTGATCTACTTTTTTAAGTTGTTGTAATTATTTATTTATTTAAACACATAAACTTCGATAGAAGGAGGCACCAAATAGACATCCGCCACACAAATCATTCGATTTGTGTGACAGCTGGGATTCTGTTCGGGTCCCCAAAACGAAACAGGTGGTTTTGTCAGGGAGTCACACCCAGAACCTTTGATCTAAAGGTTTAATCTACAAGGCAGTAGAGTAACATCAGCAGATGCAGTACCATGGTAGCCGGTGGCCAACAATAGGGTCATACGCCATTTGTTCCTTCAGGATACTGGAGCCCATGTACACCATTGGTTTGGAATCAAAGAAGTGAGTAGGACTTCCCTGGCAGTGATTGTATACACGTGGTCATGTGAGAGCACTTCGAGAGGGGGAGCTAACATCCCCCACCCCCAGCCGTACCAGGGTACGTGGGGGCTTATTAAGTCTTAGGTCATGTTCTTAAATGTTCAAAACTACAACTATTAACCCAGTTTCTATTGGGGTGATCCAGAAATCTTCTCGCAAAAGACAAGAAAGGATCAGGAAAACACTAAGAAGCATTTGATCCAATCCGCGTTCATTTGAAGTTTAGCCAGAAACATCAAGAAAGTGAAAGGCCACATGCAGAGTTTCTGATTGTTTGCTATTGTTTACTAGCATTCTAAAATTTTCGGGAAACCCAAGGACATCTAAAATACTATGACAACCCTATATTTTTCTGTACTAAAACGAACATATTTTGCGCCTTTTCTCTTGTGTTCAGGTCGCTGTGTAGTTCTAGCTTGGAGGTTACGAGAATAGCAACTTAGGAACAGAATATAGCGTTCAATTAGCAAGACTTATCAATTTCCTTTTCAAAATTGTTATTCCACAATATCAGTATTTGGTAATCGATAATTAACACGATAACCTTTAACAACAATAACTGATCACTGACACTAGGTTTGATCCAACTAATCAATAGCAAAGTTCTGAGTATTGAAAAGAAGAAAATAGTTGCTAAGCAAAAATAAAAAATATTTCAACTTACTTATTTGGGAAATGATTATGTAATGATGCGAAATATGAAATTAATATTTGATCCATTTGACAACGATTAAAATGAATTAGATGTATTTTAAATGTTTGTAAATTTTGATCATGATGATGATGATCAGTCAATAAATAATTGATTATCCGTAGCATAGGTGTTATTCCACTACCTCCGGCTAACATAATAAGATGGATCAGTTTTGATTCATTCTTATTATTATTATTATGAATGAGCTGTTTGATTAGATTACTATTGAAATTACCTATTGGTAGACTGATTTCAATAGTATCATCTGTTAAAGATTGAACAATAGGACAATTTAGTTAAACAACAAAATAGATGAATAGTTTAAATTTATTTATATGCCCCATACAAGTCACTTGATTTATATGAGGGATGTGACAATACCCGAGTGCCCAGATCGAAGCTGGTGGGTCTTTTTAGGGGACCACAATCGGAGCTTTCGACCTGAAGGTCTGATCCCCAAGACAGTGGAGCATCGTAAGGAGATGCAGTCACATGGTAGCCAGTGGCCAATAATTGGTTCATACGACATTTGTTCCTTCAGGATCCTGGATCCAGCCCATGTGGACACTCAATATCCACCAACCCGGTTAAACCTCTGGATATTCGGTTTTTGTCATCTCAATTTCATAAACAATACCCCACCGCAGTGAGTAGGACTTCTCTTGTAGTGGTTGTATGCACGTGGCCATGTAAGAGCATTTCGAGAGAGAGAGCTAAACCTCCGTACCCTCAACCATATGAGGGCATTTGGAGGCAGTTTAAATAGTAGGAAAACTATTGAAAATGTCACTATCATAGAATTACATCTAATTTATTCATAATAAATAAATAAGCTGGCGGATACGGCGGGTCCACCTAGGGGAGTTGGAAAACTTTCATTCCAAACCAATGGTGCACAGGGGCTTTAGAATCCTAAGGAAACAAAAGACGTATGAACCTTTTGTTGGTCAACGGTTATTATGAGACTGCATCTCCTTAAATTGCTCCACTGTCTTGTGGATCAGACCTTTAGGTCGGAGACTCTGGGTGTGACCCTTTAAGTAAACTCCCTGCTTCTGTTTGGGCACTCGGGCAGTATCTTAGCGCCCCCCCCCCTTGTACCAATATCTATGTGTTTCAATAAATAAATAAACAGATCACGTTACAGTACGAGCACAACTTTTGAACTGATATGTTTTGGTAAAATGTGTAAAAATGCGATCTGATGGAATAGTGTACGTAGTTTTTTATTGTTAATTTATAATTGTTTTCATCAGGTGACTGAATATCCTCGTATTAATGTTTTGTTTGATAAGTTCATTAATTTCTATCATAGTCAAGTCATTGAGCACAACTTTTTCTCCAAGGATGAATTAATAAATAAACAAACGAAAAGCCAAACATTTACTAAATTAAACCATTCCAACTACGGGAAGCGCCTACATCGGACAAAGTGGAAACCTCGTTTGCTTGAGACAACTAGCATCTGCAGTGGTGCTGCCTTCACTACGACAGAAAGAAGGGATTAGAAAACGTCTAACATAAAAGCATTACACTTCAACTTTCCTTATCGATTTTCGTCTTTTGGGGTCAAGTTTATAATGAATGGAGTTAACATATAACAAACTATACATAAGAAATCTAGGTGTGATCGGTCTTAAACACAAGCGCCAAGATCATCTTTAACTCAATTTTCTTTTCATGTACCTCAAGAAGCAGGATGCTTTCATAGTGTGGACAACCGGTTAGTGATAGAGTAGCCCTTGTACATTTAACAGTACTCGAGAGATAGCATTTACAACTCAAATTAGTACAGTCAATTCATACAAAAAAGCAATACTCAACTAATTAGTTAAAGTTCCCCAAGCTCAAGCAGGTAAAAACAATAATGGTGTACTGCACGAGAACACAAATGGGGACAACCAGATGTATTTTGGCACAAAATTACAGATTCTCTTGATAAGATATAAATACCATACGTTGAATACTTCATTTGAAAAATGTCAATCAATTGTCTTGAACTTTATTAATATTTCATTCCCATACCAATTACTTTCTGTTCCCGTCCTCGTCTATTCGATCTTCTCAACTTTCTCCTGCTAGGCATTCTATTTTCGACTGGTGTCACATACTACTTATATATCTATCAACATAAGTAGTACATATCACAATGCGGAAAACAAAATTAGGTTCATTGAGACATCGGTCAATTATAATTTCATCAAGATATTCTATAACATAAGACAAGTCACTACTTACTTGTAGAAATATTATTCACAAGTTGAGAAAATTCCCCATCTGGATAAATTTTAATTAATAAACAACATTGATTTACACAATTTTCCTGTTGACAATCAGTATTGATTATTGATGAAAGAGTTAAATCATTGCATACTGGTGTATAAGGTCTGATAACGTAATTACCTGAACGGTGTAACAAACAAAAACAATATGAAATGAATAAATAATGACAAAACAGAATAAAATGTGATACCCTACATTGTCACTAGCCAATAACCAATTGTAAATCTATTTCAGTCTTACATGAGGTCCAGTCATAGCTTGGATATCTCAGTGGTAATAACTCAGATTGTAACACGAGATCGATTCCGTCAGGGAGCATTAGTTACCTCAAAGATTACAGATACATCTTACGGACGAATGCCAAATAGTACGAAACTTTTATTATTATTATTTAAACACATAAACATTGGTACAAGGAGGCACCAAATACATATGCGCCACACAAATCTCATTTGATATATGTGAGGGCTATGATACTGCCCGGATACACAGACCAAAGTAGGTGGTTTTCTTAGGAGGCCACACCCACAACCTTCGACTTAAAGGTTTGATCCACAAGGCTTTTGAGCAACGTGAGGAAATGCAGTCTCATGGTAACCGTTATCAGTCAGTCCACAACGTAGAACTTTGTATGTAAACACAGAGATACAAATGTTGATTCAAATCCTGTAGTGGTACAGGTAGTAAGAGTATAAGCAGTAATCGGGAACATTAGGGTTTGGAGAGTATAATCCAGTGAAATAAATTTGGAAAGAAAAAAAAAGAGACAGGGAGGAATCAGGAGATTAAAATTTAGAACACAAAGAGTGTATGCACCTGTACCATTGCAAACGAATTTCAGCCATGTCATTCAAGGTCTCTAACCATCGGTTGCTATCATCTCGCGGTCCCCAACCATACGTAACACGTGTCCCAGCCATCCCAACTGATTATATTTCACTATTTCATCAATTGATTTGCCATCCTTACTTAGTACCCGTTTCCTAACAACTGCATTACTTACTCGGTGGTACCAGGATATACGAGTAATGCTTCGAAGACACCTATGATCAAATACTAGTAACCTACGAATATCCTCTACTCTTACCGGCCACGTTTCACTGCCATAAAGTAGGACGGAACGAACTGCTGCACAGTAAACACGTCCTTTGGTTGATAGACGGATATCTCGCCTACGACATAAATGACGCAAGTTTGTAAAAGCTAGTCGAGCCTTCTGTATCCGTGCTAAGATTTTGTCACACGAGAGACCACAAGGGCTGGTGAGACTCACAAGATAAGCGAAGAGGTCGACACGTTCAACTACTTCACTCTCTATCATTAGTTCGGGTGTAGTAATAAAAAGTGTGAACTATTTGATAACGCTTAATACTGATATTTTTATTCTATAACATAAAAACAAACAAATAAATAACTTTATTTATTTAAACAAATTTGAATATTTTAAACATAAAACAAAACTGTATTTACATTGATCAAAGATAAGTTAATCAACTTTAAATTTTGCGCAAAAACTCAAAAAATAGCTTTCTCAAATTTGATTGGTTCATTTCCATACCTTATTTTCATTATGAATAAACTACCAATAGAATATTGAAACTTGAACTGAATTTAAGTCTATAATCATGATGATATTATTATTCTAAATTACAGATATTAATGTCTAATTCATTCATTCATTCATTCATTCATCATTAATGGGGATACTCACCTTCGGAATCTTTTAAACGAACATTTACATGATATCCAATTGGTATATTCATATTTACTTGTGATTCTGGCCAATTTATACGTATGAATCGATAATTACTATTATTATTATTATGATGATGATGATGATTATGTAACCAATAAGATTCAATGATAGAACAAACAAAAAACAACTCATCTATGAATATGAGGAGAAGAAGAAGAAGAAAAAAAGAAATAGAGAAAGGATATTTATCAATGGAAAAATGAAAAAGAGAAATAAACGATGTGAATATGTATTAGAAGGGATTTTGTGTGGAGATTTTAGTAATTTCAGTAGTTGAGATGATGAGTCAATTGAAGCTAGACCAAAGACTTCTCGACCTTGAGTATGTGGATGATATTGTCTTACTGTGCGATAATGCCCAAGGCATGCAATCCGCACTTAATTAGTTGGTGATCAATGTCCGTAGGTACGGTATGTGCTTTGCACCCTCGAAATGCAAAGTACTTCTACAAGACTGGCAGGATTCTAATTCTGTACTCACCCTGGATGGTGAGCAGATAGAAGTAGTCGAAAAGTTCGTGTATCTAGGTAGCTGCATAAGTGCTGATGGTGGCGTGAGTGATGAGATCAATGTGCGTATAGTGAAAGCCAGAGTGGCTTATTGCCAGTCTGGGCCATCTTTGGCGCCTTCGTGATGTTATTCTGTCTGTAAAAGGTCGGATCTACAACGTGTGTTCGGGCACAGAGATGATAATGCAATTGGTGTCACCATCTTGAAACACCGACTTCGGTGGCTTGGACATGTTCTACGAATGTCGTCCCAGAGAATTGGCGACTCGGGGACTGGTTGGAAAAAGCGGAGAGGTGGTCAGTGTATGGCATGGTGTCGTGGTATGAAAGAAAGCTGCAAATGGCTGGCTTCTGTTGGCCCTTCACGACTCCCTGTTTGGGGTGTGAGAGATGGTGCTACACAGTGGCTAGAGACGTTATCAAATATGGCTCAGAACAGAAGCCATTGACGATCCTGCTGTAACCTTATTTCGCCTTCTTCATAAAAAGTGGTTGCTTCTTCTTTAACTGAAAGATCTCTTCTGACTGTACGTTTCTGTTTACCTCATTATTATTATTACGTTACATTACAGTAATCTGTACGTTATTGTTTTTTTACGCTCCTTACTTTTTCTTTCGTTCTTCTCTTCAAATTCCCATTGTTTTCTGTGGCGCATATGTATTTGGTTCCCTCTTGTACCAATACTTATGTGTTCAAATAAGTAAATAAATTCATATTCTGTATGATTCTTTTAATTCATACTTCATTTCTATTTTCTTTAAGTCGACGTTTATAGCCTTCTGATGCCAGGTTTTTAACTTCCGACTGGTGCTACATACTACTTATGTCGACGGACATAAGTAGCATACATCATAGTAAAACTTGCATTTATTAAAAATGTCTACACTCACAACAATTCACCGACAAATACGCTGAAACAAACGAACACGTCATCTATGAAATAGTTGGAAAGTAAGCCCATTTCCTAAACAATCATTTCAAAGAGAATGAAGCTGTAGTGAACGAGAACATCAGTGAGTACGACCAAATATAATTGAATACAAAATTAAAAAAAGTCTTAGTCAAATCTGAGAACCATACATTAACTAACTTACCTAGTACCGTATGGCCAACCTCAGCATCTTTCAGTTGTCCCAACAACAAAAAACATGTGCAATGGTTTAAACGTACGTATGATCTAATAATAGTAACCCACGAATATCCTGTATTCTTACTGATCATATTTTACAGCCATAAAGTAGAACAAAGTAAACTGTTGTACAATAACCTCGTCCTTTGTTTGATGGATGTATATACTGCTACGTAGTTCTTCTTGTATTAAATCCTTATACATAATCTTTCTTTTATTTATTACTACAATTGAAGTAACTACTTCTATGAATTTGGTGTTCATCTTAGGCTAATGAGGTGCGGCAGCTTGAACCGATGCACATACATACCTGGTCCTACGTTGTAGCTGACTGACTTCATATTTTATTATGAATATAACTGTAACCAGTTAAGAAATCATGAAATAACTAAGTTTATGCATGTATTCTGCCTCAATTATTATAGTTCATACACTAACCAAATTCACACACGGAATCAAATTGAATGAAGTATTATATTCTCATTATTTTCTACTATCAGCATAGATATCAGACAAATCAACCATTTGACAGCGACAGGTTGTACAAATCCACTTTGACAAAGAATAAGAAATTCAGGCCTATTAAGATTGTACTAAAAAAAAATATTTTGCACTATTTCCTTTAATCTGGTGTCAATATTTAATTACGTTTATTTATTTACTCTGAAGAAGTCGCCTATATTAAGCCACAAAACATCAGAAATACAATTTTTCCATTCATTACGATATAACTATATATATAGAGAGATTGGAAATAGATTGTAAAACTCCGCCCCCCCCCCAAAAAAAGGTGGTAGTTTCTAGTGAATTTATATGCGTCCAAACAAAAAACGAATGAGTGAATAAATTAGGACATGACATAGTGATAATCTCTATGGCAAAAATAAAATTGATAAGATCATTAAAACTGGCTTTCTTTTTAAGAAGGAAAAAAAAAGCAAAGATATACATTGTCTACTAAGTGAAAAACGGACAAAATTTTCAATAATGACAAGATATTATCATTCATGGATTATAAATGAGACAAAACGATTATTTTGTATTTATTTCTCTTAGTAACAAAAAAAAGGAGGGGAAAGGAGGTTTGATAGAAAAAATGATTTGGTGTTACATATTATCTAATAATTTCCTGTCTATCATTAACTACTAACTAGATTTGAAGTATTTACAATAAATACTTATTTATAGTAAATTTACGTTATTCAAGTAATAAGCAAAGACAGATAGTGGCTAGCAGTGGAAACCAGGATGTGCACATTTCGTCCAATTTAGGCAGCGTCAACTAGATGTACCTGCATCTCAGAGTTTATGTGTCACTACTCTGGGACTCGAACTCAATACCGTTTGCTTCAAATGCCATCGTGCTATCCACTCAGCTATTGAGTCTTGATAGCCACTTACTTATGTTGACGAATATCAAATAGGACGAAAAGCGCGCATCAAAATGGATTCCACTGCTAACCATTATCCATCTTTGTTTATAGTGCTTGTTACTTAAGGCAATATTGAGACAATACGCACAGTATGCACACATGCCAATAAGGGACTGATCAATTGCAGTCCTAGGCATCAATGGGAAGAGTCGAGTAAACAATACCAAGTGTAGTTTGATGTTTTTATGAAAATTATATATATATATATATATATATATATATATATATATATATATATATATATATATATAAACTTACTAGAAATGGAACTATTTTCAACATCTAATCCAATACAAATATCACGAAGTACAACACCAATTGTACTAAATGAATTATTTGTCGATTTTTCAACTAATTCTATACTACCAATATTTGGTTGTACTGATAATGATGGAAATGAGGAAGAAGATATTGAAGATAATGATGATGATGATGTAACAGATAGGAGTTTAATTAAATTGATACTCAACTGGATTGTTCCTTCTCTGCCACCTCCCTCCCCTATTCGTTTTAATAGTGATGATGATGATGATGGTGGTGGTGGTGAAAGCGAAGACAATGACTTCGAATTACCAATTCCCAATTGATTCAAACAAAGTGTACACAAATCTGGACGAAGTTGAGCACATAGTCCTAGATGTATATTCAATAAATAATAATAATAATAATTGGAAAGAAAACAAATCGCAAAATCAATAAGTTTCGAACAAAAAAATACAAAAAAACTCGGATTAAATGATAGTCAACTATTCCTGATGATTACATGAGATGATTCTTTAAGATTGTTGGAGATGTTAGATCCTTCAGAACTCACATGGTAAATGCTTAATTTTTGTAATTCTATGTTGAAAATTTGAATTTCTTGTTTTCGCGCTAAAAGCACTCATTTTCACCTTCATGTTGTATTTCCCACTTGGAAGGAGTTAAAACGCTATTGGTTCGTTGTATCTTTTAGTATGCTATTTTGTAACGCTTCCCAAGGACAATTTTATGCCGTGTATATATACGTTTGATTTGTGCCTGTCGTTAGTGATCATGCTTCTGGCTGCTGGTGGAATAATTTCCCCTTCCGATCAATAGTAGACAAACTAATGCACAGATCATGTGTTTTGATTTGACTGCACTTAGCTTTCTTTAAACCTATTTTTATTTCAGCAAACAATGCGCGTTGAGGCCGAAGGTGCTTCGACAAACGTAACACATGATCCAACCACCTTAGTTAACAAAAAGATTAACTACTTCATCAATCAATTTCACATCCTTATCTCGGAATCGCTAATTTGATTACACCATGATACGCGAGAGATACTACGAAGATACCTATGACCAAAAACTCACAGTCTATCTATCTCTTCCACTTTTACAGACCATATTTCACAATCATAAGAGGAATTACAAAGCAGACGTCTCAATAGTAAACTCATCTGAAAGTCACATGCTTGATTTCTGTCGAGATTGTGGATACTGTTACTGATGAAGAATCTCAATTTAGAACGAAATAATCCTCCAGTGTCTCCTAGGATTCTAGTTGAACACAAATCATGGCTTATACACTATACTCGGACAATGTTCAGTTAAAACCACGATGATTGTGTACGCCTGAACACCGATTACCACGAAGTGCAACGCTGACTAGTGTTGGAGACGGTTGGAAGAAAGTTAAGGGTGGTTAAACCAAAACATGGTATCAGTCCACAAAGTGACTAAATTGTAGTCTAAGCCATGTTGGTAGATGCAGACTACTTGGTTGGGGTCCGCGTGACTATCGTAACCAATGGTTTGAGACTCTTGGTGACATGGCTCAGAATCGATCAGAATGGCGTAGGTGTATACACTCTTTGTCTTCCCTTAAACTAAGAGATTAAAATCGCCTCATATCATTCTTTCTAACTGTACTATATCCTTATATACAATCTTTCTTTCATATATTACTACTCCTATGCATCCGATGTTGATCTTGTTGCGCTAATAAGGTATGGCAACTTGGACCGATGCATATATGTGCCTGGTTCTACGTTGTGACTGACTGACTGACTGTGATTTGTAAACAAAAAATCGAGTTTTCAAAGAATTAAATTGATCTTTTCAAAATGAAAATAAAAGAAGCATAACTTACTCAATTTCAAACAATGATATTCATTATCTAAAACTGTACGTAACATAAGTACACCATTGGAATTCATTTGTTTATCATCTTGATCACATTTAGTCCATGTACAAAGTACTCGTAATCTATCTAATTCATAACAAAATTTATCAAAGACTTTATTATTCCCATAATTAATAATCAATTCAATATAACTATCGTATTCTTTCCAATCCCAACTGAAATGATAAATAAATGGAAAATAGAGAGAAATACAGGGAGAATAAATTCTGTAATAAAAACGGAAGTTTATTTTTTCCCTTATCTCACTCTTAGTCTGATTGGGCTTTGTTGATATTAAAGAAAGTTTTCTATTTGACGTATTATAATACAGAAGTTATATGTTTTTGACATTGATTGATATTAGAATTTACTGTTTCCTATTATTCTTTCCCCGACCGTTGCTGATACCTTGACGTGGTGGTCAGGCTTGCCTATCGTGGTGAACTAATAGAGCTATACTAGCTGCAACAATCGTTCCTCAAGGTCCTACCATACCAGACAGATCGACAAAAGAGCGGTAAGATTACAAGTAACAAACCCAAGATCCGAAGGCGAAGTCGTATTGCCGACTGTACAGAGGTGTGACAGCAGTAAGGTGTTTCCTTCAGACAACCAGCATGGCAGCGATGATGCCTTCTCACAAGGAGAGTTGGGGTTGGAAAAGGTCGACCCTAAAAATGCATATCTCGCCTTATCTCGCGGATATCCGTCTCCAGCGGTAAGGTCTTAACAAGTACGGAGCTGACACAAAAATTACTCACAGAAAAATCGTGTTTGACCGACCTCAAGCAGTTGTCCCTTGGGCATTGTGGTCACGCTCTCAGGTCTCTAAGACCACCTTTAATCCAATTCTCTTTTCAGGTACCTCCAGGAGAACACTTCTACGGTGTAGGCGACCGAGAAGTGATGGCCGCTCTCATGCCTCTAACAGCACTCAAGACCACCATTATTCTTTCCCAAGCTTTTGAGAAAACAATTTTACTGTGTTGCGGAGAGTGCTGAAGACATTTAGTAAGACATATTACTTAGAACAACAAAATCTAAAATCCAGTTGATTTGTTAACTTAAACTTTAGAATATATACATAGACTTCTACTAAAAGATACTAGAAAATTTCCATTTTGACATTTGGTAAATAATGGAGGAACGAATTGATCGAAGAAATTTCTCCGCTCAAATACTAGAAAGTTGTTTACTCACATAGGTTTCTTTGTACTGTTTAGACGAAGCTTCGATGGAATAAAGAATGGAGATAATTCTAAATAGACATGAAACACAAGAAAAAGAAGTACGAAAAAACTGTAGGTAATACCACCTTTAAACCATTGAAAATCGTTTACATGACAATCTATTGGTAAAATGATACTTTTGACATATAAGGTGACAGTTGGATGTAGTCAAAAAGAAACTATGGACGCGCTACTTGACACTGGTTAGCAAGGTATGAATTTAGTGTTATCCCTTCTCTTTGATCGATCGAATTGAATGAGGACTGAAGACTTGACAAACATAACATTGATCACTACTTAGAGATCTATTAATTGTGAATACAGTTCAATCTTACAGGAGGTCAGTCGCGGCTCGAATATCTCAGTGGTAACGTGACATGAGAACGAATCCGCCAGGAAGCATCAGTTACTTCAAGATTACTAATACATCCTGCTGACAAGTGCTAAATAGCACAAAACTTAGGTACAGAGTTTCCTATCGACTACCTTTATCATTTTACATCTCAATATAGTTCATCCCATGTCAACTCACTTAGACTAAATAACCATTTGCAAATTGATCGATAGGATTTGACCTGCACTAAGAAGAACTTAACATACATAACATTGATCACTAATTATTCGTCAATCATTTGTAAACTGTCGACAGTTATTTTAATGCTGATTAGCACAAAACTATGTATGTACAATTGGAAACAGAAAAAAACAACAACTTATTGACTGTTCGTTCTGAATAATCCTTAGTTTCCTAGATTGTTGATGGATTGAAGTGATACAATGATATGTAGTACTGCTGAATGATTCTGTCATATTGTGTAACAATCATCTTATACATAACATCAAAGCATTGAAACAAAAGAAATTTTGTTGTATAATAAACGTAAACAAACACATTAGAAAAGTCGGGTGTTAAGGTGAGAAGATTATAGAACATTTGTCACATTAGTAAATGCATGATACAGGTCATTATTGATTTTATACACACATTATTATTCTTAGTTAAATAAAATAATATTTAGATTGATATGATTGACACCAACTAGGTAACTAAGGATCATTGGGCACCTGTCCTATTTTAGCATGAGATTCCTTAATAAACCATAAGTGAACATCCCTAGTGGAATCATGAATGAGTATTATCATCAATTCATGATGACAACCATATACATATGATACCTATGTGTTATATAGACTTGAGTTAGGCTTCAGAAGCTAAGCTACCTACGGATTATCAGTCTTTTACTCTCGTGTAGCTGGTTTAGTCAAGTATTAAGAAATGAATGTTTGTGGTTGGATTGAGTTGGCAAAATATAAAACATACCTAGAGTGTTATGCCATCTAAATCCTATCGTTGTAACACATAAAATGTACAATATACCAAAAGTGATTCACAATCATTGGGTATCATTTTTGAGCCCCTATTTCATCTTCTAGTAAAGTTAGTACGAAGCAGGGTAAATTAAAAAGTGTCGAGCACTTGGTTAACAGAATGACAATACTGCAACATCAAAGATATTCAGAAGATTTCAGATCAAAATTTTTCACAAGTCCTTATTAACTGTTTACATTATGAATCAATTGTTAATTTGTACTTCATATGGATATTTTATTAGACCAAGCACTTTATAACATCAGTTTACTTCTAAATTTCATACGATATCAATATTTAACCTTCTATGCTAATAATACTGCCAGGAAAGTCCTATTCACTGCCTACTTGCGACAGGGATGTTGTGTACGAAATCGAGGACGAAAATCGAATGTCCGGCGCTTTAACCGTGTTGGTGGATACATAGGATTCACCTTGGGGAGTTGGAAAATCCTGATTCCAAACCAGTGGTGAACATGAGCACCAGGATCCTGAGGAAACAAGTGGCGTGTAAACCTATTGTTGGTCATCGGTTTCCATGGAAATGAATCTCCTGACGTTGTTCCACTACCTTGTGGATTAGACCTTTAGGTCAACGGTTCCGGGAGTGACCTCCTAAGAAAACCAGCTATATCGGTCTGGGCATCCGGGCAGTATCCCAGCCCTCACACAGATCGAACGATTTATGTGGCGCATATATATTTGTTGCCTCCTTTTACCAATGTTTATGTGTTTAAATAAATGAATATGCTAATAGTAATCATATGCTCACAGACCAATCATTTCAAGAAGGAGGTTCTGGAAATCTAGTGAGAAGCCACAACATGTAGAGTCCAACCATGTTGAGCATGATGCCATTACCAACCAATGACATTGGAAAATGGTTACAAAATATTGAGAAGTGGCTTAATTTACATACGTAGACCACTGGATGCCAGCTCAGAGGTGTAAAGGTTAAGCCCTCGTTGCAAGACCTGAAATTCTTGGGTTCGGTTCTGGTGTGGTCGTGGATGTGTACTCTTGATGAGTTCCATACTAGGACGAAACAACCGTTTAATGTTTCCTGGTATTCACTAACAGAAGTCAGTCCGTGGTGTAAACTATAAGACTCAATAAAGAATGCAAATAAAGATATCAACGATTAAGTGATAAATGAAAACTTACGATTAGGTATACCACCTCGACCAGGTGCACTTTGTTTTAAATAACCTTTCTGTAATCTAGATATCATATTTGTGCTAACATATGAGTGTGCCTTGAAAATAAAAGAAAACAATATACTTCAGAAAATGAGTTATTATCATCATCAACATTCTAACAAAATCTGTTTGTCAACTTTTAAAGTATTTATTATCTATATCGATGAAATTTTCCTTTTGTGTTGAACAGAATCACTGTGTGTAGTCCGTTTAATTCAAAGTACTTATTCTGTCAGTGTATGACATGGTGTCGGGGTATGAAAGGAAGCTGCAAAGGGCTGGCTTGTGTTGGTCCTTCACGACTCAATGGTTGGGGTCCGAGAGATGGTGCTACATAGTCGCTTGAGACGTTATCAGATATGGCTCAGAATAGAAGCCAGTGGCGATCCTGCTGTAAACTTCTCTTACTTTCTTCATAAAAAGTGGTTGTGTCTCCCTTAACTGAAAGGTTTCTTCTGGTTGTACCTTTCCGTTTCCCCCATTATTGCTATTATTATTATTAAACTACCTCATACTAATCTGTTCGTTGTTTTTCTTCTTCGAATTCTCATTGTTTTGTGTGGCGCATACATATTTGATGCCCTCTTGTACCAATATTTATGTGTTCAAATAAATAAATACTTATTCTACATAATCCATTTTGTATCACATTTTTTATGTTTCATAACTTAAGTAGAGTGAGGTTCAAACATGAAATTTAAGGAATGTAAGCTGAATCCTACGATCACTTCATTATCACCTCGTTTGCTTATTATACAATTTTATGCTGACAACTGGTTCGATGATATAGTTCACAGTTAACAGTGAGTAAAATAAACAAACCTAGAAAATTTGCAGGTACTATTTACCAAAGATTGATCTCATTAAGGACCAAAGGTGATACTATCCATCTGCCTCGTTCTAGTATGGGACTTCTTAATAGTGCTCACCAATAACCCCACTTGGGATCAAACCCAGGACCGAGTTTGGAGGAAAGATTTAAACTACTAAGATCACAAGGTCGGCGTAGCGCGACGACACGTAATGCCATTGGTAATAACTGTTTCACTTCCGACACGCCTGGACTCCATCAGTTACAAGTTCTCAGTAAAACTTTAAGAACTTGAAGTATATCAAACTGTATTAGAAGTCAATTGAAGTCAAAATTGTACCAGTAGATGCCAACCCTATAGTTCTAATGGTCAAGTGCTAGCCGCTACACTTGAAGATCCTGGTTTCAATCTCCGGTTGGATTGTAGGTACATATTAATGAGTTAGCCCATACTAGGACGAAACAGATGTCCATTCCTCCTTGGCTTTCAGTAGTGCCCCGAATGAGATCAATATGTGTTATATCTCTGTTCTTACGGTTATGACCCGGCTATTCCTATTGCTTAGTATTCTCGGACACCGATTCACTCGACAAGTCCCCAAATCAAAACACGGTTGAACAGGAAGAGATTATATTCCAAATAACAAGGTTAGATGGAAGTCAGAAGCACAATAGAGAAAAACGTCAGTATATTTATAGTATCCTACATGAGAAGATTCTAGAGTGTTCTCCAACTATCGACTAGTGCTGATTGGTTAAGAATTAGCCAATCAGCGTGCACCAAAGCAATCATGCATTGAGCATGCTTTAATCCGGTCTATGTCCCGCTAACACCTCCCCTTTGAGCAGATTCGTAGGATCTGGTGCTAGGGTCCAACTGCAACCGAGTGACTGGCCTGTGCTTTCGATTAGTCCATCGTCTAGGCAATAGTGAAGTATCACTCTTTTCTTGCACAGAAACTGACGTGTCTATTCCCGGCGTTTTGATTTCAAAGGTGTCTAGCAGAACATCAAGAGGTAATCGATATTGAATCTTGTTGCTGGCTATCGAAGTTGCTTTCAATTGGTTAGCATGACGTACCCAAACTTCCGAGCCAACTGACACCTCGTAAACCACACTCCCCTTCTTTTTCACGATCCGACCAGCTGTCCATGTAGGGTGTTTCCCACGATAGTCCATAGCAAGCACTTTTTGTCCCACCGTGAACAATCGTCTTTGTGCCCCATGATGTCGGTTAAACTGATTCTCCATCGATAGGTTTCGTTGGGGTTCAATAGCTGGCGTAGGACGGATGGCATCGAAATGTGTTCGTATCTTTCTGCCAAGTAGAGCTTCTGCTGGAGAGACCCCGTTAATTGTCTGAGGGTTCGGTGTAGAGCGATAAATAAACAGGAACCTCTCTAAGATATCTTCAGTGGTCCCTTCCCCTTTGGATTTTTTTAGAGCATTTTTAAATGTACTCACAAAGCGTTCCACTTGGCCATTTGATTGGGGATGGAATGGAGGTGTTCGCAGGTGCTGGATTCCGTTCTGCCGACAAAATTGTGAGAAGATTCCGGACGTAAACTGTGTTCCGTTGTCACTAACTATCAATTCCGGGATTCCAAAACGACTGAATAGTTGACGTAGTTTACTGACTGTGCAGCTTGCAGTAGGGTGTTCCATGAGAAAAATTTCTGGCCACTTGCTATATGCATCAACCACCAAAAGATAATTTTGTCCATGGAGTGGACCAGCAAAGTCCAAATGTATACGCTGCCACGGTAACTGTGGTATTGGCCATGATTGCAGCTCTGCTTTTCGCGGTGCTTTTGTCGCTAATGCACATTTGGTACAGGAACGGGATAGCTGCTCCAGTTGGGTGTCTAAATGCGGCCAGTATACATAACTTCGTGCTAGTGCTTTCATGCGATTTATTCCAGGATGTCCTGCATGCAACTGTTCAAGCACTGCTGGTTGTAGCTTCTTGGGAATTATGACACGTTCGGCAAACAGCAGACAGTCATCGATGATTGAAAGAGAGAGTCTTCGTTGGTAAAACTGTTGAAGCTCTGTGGAACTGATTTTCGAGGGCCACCCTTCTAGGTGGAACTTTCTAACTTCTTGTAGTGTTGGGTCTCGAAGCGTTTCTTCCCTGACTTCATCTGACGACACTGGAGTGTTTCGAATGGCATCTGCCACTATACTTCGTATTTCTGGATCTACTGTTGTGGAGGCAATGATTATATCCTCTGGTCCAGGATGTTGAACTCCAATTAATCGGGAGAGAGCGTCAGCTTGACCGATAGTATTTGTCGACTGATACTTGATATTAAAATCATAACTCAGGAGCATTGTTGCCCAGCGCTGTAGTCTATTAGCCGTATAGACAGGGATTCCTTTCTTAGAACCAAAGATTGCAATCAAAGGTTTGTGATCTGTCAGTAGAGTAAATGTACGACCATAGAGCATTTTATGAAATCTTTTGACTGCGAAAATGATTGCAAGAGCTTCCTTTTCAATTTGGCTGTAGTTTCGCTCGGCTGGAGTAAGTGATCTAGCAGCATGGGCAATTGTCTTTTCTGATTTATCCGGAAACACGTGAGATATCACTGCTCCAACTCCATGACTTGAGGCATCAGATGCAACAACAATTTCCAAGCTGGGATCGAAGTGCGTCAAAAGAATCTTTGAGCTGAGCATTGATTTGACTCTGTCAAAAGATGCTTGACATTCTGCTGACCACTGCCAAGGTTTATCTTTCGATAGTAATTCATTTAGGGGACCTCTCACTCGATGCATTTCAGGCAAGAATGTGCTGTAATGACTGATTAACCCCAAGAAGGATCTTAATGAAGAAACATCAGTTGGTGCAGGCATCTTCTGAATGGCTTCGATGTTGGCAGGATCTGGTCGGCGACCGTTCTTATCTAAGATAAAACCAAGGTATTTGATCGAATGCATGAAAAAGATACATTTTTCCTCACGTAGTTGGAAACCATACTCCAACACTCGGTTAAGGACTTGGTGTAGTCGATCAGAAAGTTCACTATCAGTTGAACCCATAACTATGATATCATCTAGGTAAGCTGCTGTACCAGGTATACCTGTTAGCATCGTATCCATTATTTGCTGAAAGATGGCGGGTGCGGTCTTGATGCCAAATGGTAGACGAGTGTATTGAAATAACCCTCGATGAGTGTTAATAGTCAGAAGCTCTCTACTATCTTCATCTACTTCCACTTGGAGATAAGCATCAGAGAAGTCTATTTTCGCGAAGCATGTCCCACCATTAAGCTTGGCAAACAGGTCTTCAGGAACTGGTAATGGATATTGATATACATCTAATGCAGCATTTAAACCGGTCGAGAAATCGGCACATATGCGTATAGTCCCATTGGCCTTCTTAATCACTACAATCGGTGCGGCCCATGCAGAGTAGTTAACTGGTCGGATTACACCAGCCTGTTGCAAGCGATTAAGTTCCTGGTCGACTAGCTCAAGAGCAGCATATGGTACAGGACGTCTCGGGCGAAAAATAGGTATGGCATCTGGTTTTACTGGTAAATGCGCTTTCATCTTGGTACAGTGGCCAAGGCTATTCTGAAAAACAGAGGCAAACTTTCTTTTCAGTTTTTCTAGTAACCTTTCACCTGTCTTCTTTGGAAGTACTGAGCTGTTCAATGATGAACACGATACGTTACAGACACTGTTAATTGGTACATCCATTATTCCAAGTTTGTCTAACATATCTAGACCAAGAAGATCAAGGTTCGGCCGTTCTGTTAGGTAACATATTCCTGTACAGTTAGTTCCATTGAAGGAAAATTCACACTGTAATTCACCAACCAGTTTTAGCACACCACCTGATGCGTTTTTAGCCGTTTTCTTAGATGGCTTCATTGGCGGTTTACCCAGCAAGTTATATGTTTCTCTAGACACTAACGTGATATCTGATGCCGTGTCAATTTGAAGACGAGCTGATATGCCGTTTATCTGGATAGTAACATACTTTCTCTGAATGTCATAGTTTGTTTGAAAGGCAGCTACCAAAGAAAGAGATTTGGACTCGGCTGATTTCACATGTCGAGGACGTTTATGCTTCTTCTTAGGCTGAGACGTACGCTTCGGTGGACAATGACCTTCTTTATGTCCACGTTTGTTGCACTCCTGACATTTATGCTTCTTGAACGGACAGAATCGTGCATAATGCCAATCACCGCATAACCAGCATGCAGTCCTTGGTTTGTTACGAGTTGTTACCGGCTTCTGAACTTTTAACCTAGTAATAGTATTTACACTACCGCAGGTTAAATTAGGATTTACCTGTTCAATCAACTCGTTGTCGTGTCTGATGCTTTGTAGACGCTTACACTCATCTGTCAATATTCTGAGTGTGACGTTTGGATCTTGGTCCAGTCGAGCCAAAAGTCTAGTCCTGATCTCAGCGTCTTGTGGTGACTGAAGGGCTTTGATGAATATTAAGCATTTAAATTGGTCATCAGTCAACGAGCGCAACTTGAAACGTTCACATTCTCTGTTGACAATGTCTGCTAGAACACCATATTCATCAGCTTCGCGTTTCACCAAATTTAGACACCGATATCGAATACTAAACAACGAGGATGACTCGCCGAATATCTCTGACAGCTGAAATACCGTCTCCTCGAAACTGTTATATCTCTGTTCTTACGGTTATGACCCGGCTATTCCTATTGCTTAGTATTCTCGGACACCGATTCACTCGACAAGTCCCCAAATCAAAACACGGTTGAACAGGAAGAGATTATATTCCAAATAACAAGGTTAGATGGAAGTCAGAAGCACAATAGAGAAAAACGTCAGTATATTTATAGTATCCTACATGAGAAGATTCTAGAGTGTTCTCCAACTATCGACTAGTGCTGATTGGTTAAGAATTAGCCAATCAGCGTGCACCAAAGCAATCATGCATTGAGCATGCTTTAATCCGGTCTATGTCCCGCTAACAATATGTCACAAGTACTACCTACAAATTAAATCAATCACCACAAAAACATTTCAAATAAATCTAAGGAATGTTGTGAAGAACATTTTTTGGAACGATTGAATAGTAAGACAAATGTTCAAAATATAATAAATATGGTTGTAAACAAAATAAAAAGATTACTAAACAAAATAGATGACCTTAAACAACAAATAGAACGGTTGTAGTATATTTAGTACCTAACTACCTACTTTGCAAAACAGATTTAATTCAGTCCAAATAAAAAAGAATGAAATTTCACTGGTGACTAGAATGAAGCAATGTAGCAAGCTATCAGAAAGTACGATTGATGGTAATTTACACCACATTCATAAGTATGCTAAAGTTTGATACACAACTGCAAATATTGATCATTACAAATTTGTCTTGTGTTTCATCATTTCAACATCATATACATTCTTTATATTTCAACTCATTGATATCTATTCAAGTGTAAGATATGATGATCAAATTGAAATGCTTTCAGTCATCTGATTAATGACATACTTCTGAGCAACAACTAATTTCAATGCTACGATTTTAATGTTCATGCACAGATGCAAGTCAAAACAATGGTTCGTCTACGCAGAAACATTGGAACAGTCTATTTGAAAAATAACTAAACCTAAATATAACCAATAATAGAAAAGTGGAAACAAGTAGCGTTCATTAGTAAGGATTAAAACTCATTTATCAAGTATAGCTTTATGTAGCCGGGTTTGAGTTACACATTTTGTGTAAGATGTTGTAGTACTATCTGAATGCATCAAAAAACGAAGTAGATGGAGGATTGGATTCGAATCCGCGATTTACTTATTGAAAAAAGTGCCTTTTCTAACCACCAAGCCACTATCTAATCAAACGCATGAAAAGAAAACATTTCAACAATCATGATAATATACTATTCGAAGTGCCCCCCCCCACATCTGTCAAATTTTGCCATTGAATCAATTGAGAAACCTTTCAACACCAACTTAAAGATGATGTTTAATAACTGGGTGTTTTATGCCCAGCGATACCACATTATTAGGTACATTTTCCAACCCTTCCCACAGAATGATAATTAAAAAACAAACTAGAATATTATGGATACATGATATCATGATATCTGATATTTTGAGGATGTAGAAAATCACATAGAAGTACTTTCATACAATCTTAATGGGGCATATATATTTGGTGCCCTCTTGTACTAATATTTATGTGTTCAAATAAAAGTAGCTTGATCGATAATAATATCCATTAGTGAACCGATATTTAGTGCGTTTACCTTAACATATATATTAGAATAAAGCAAAAGATTTACTATTCGTATTGTTAGTATTATTATTGTGAGCAGCAGAATTAACGACCCTATTACTAAACCTCAATTGTAGTATAACATCAGAAAGTCTCATTTGAAATAGATTAAAATGTTTGTAAACAACGATTATGATAAACAGATTGATTATGTTTTGTTATAGTCCCATTGTTTCGTTTCCCTTTAGTTTATTACTGCTCACGATTACATACATTGTTCGTTTTTTTGTAAATAAAAGAGATAGGGCTAAAATACCTATCATTTAACCATCAATCGTGTTTTGAGTGGAAGTTAACAAGCTTGTCCTGATCTCTAAAGGTTTTGATCTTGATCCCTGAACGAGTTGTTAGTTGTTAGTATTCCATACTGAGATAAGACAGGTGTTCCATGATCGCTGGTTTTTAATAGTATCCAAAACTACACTCGTCTGGGATGAATCTGATCTGTAAACTAATATTCACTAAACCTTTATATAAAGTACTAGATCCATGGAATAACTTGGTCGTTGATAGAAATTAGTCGCAAGGTACATAACGTTCCGGTGTTATAGTACTGTCAATCTAACTCGATTGCCTAATTTATGTTTATATCGAACAAAGTAAGAGACCTACTATTCGAAATGCTTCTGAAGCATCAGTTCCAGCATATTCCAACAGTATATCAACACCTCCAGGATGATACGCCGCAAATTTTGTGATATCATATACTACAGCTAATAAAAGGAAAAAAAATAGATAAAAAACGATATACAATTTGGTTACAGTAACAAACTAGCTAAATCCAGCAAAGTTTTTGAACTTAAATGAAGATAACTTTTAAAAAATTTCAAAAGAATGTAGGTAGGTGTTAGCTTGTCTCGGTTACTAACCAAAGGCTTTAATCAAAACTGTGTGTATTAGTGATATTATCCATTTGCCCAAACAGTAGATGTTGTGGCATTAAAAGGTACGACCTTATGGTTGATAGTGTTATTCAAATAACTATTGGTAGACTTTATGTCGAGAACTGTATTGTAAGCATAAGTTACCCCACTTCTAAAAGTCCTTAAAAGGATTCTCTTTTATAACATGATTTATGGCGTATATTGAAAAACAATTTATTTGCTACAATCGGGTTTCGTCGGTCGTAAAAGAAGTTTAGAACCTAGCACACATGTTTATCTGCCTATATTCTTACTTCGCATCAATACAGAAAGAAACCGACATGATGGAAAGTAAAGGAATAGAAACAACTATGGTGCCGCATATGGTAGAAAAATCAAACATAAAAATGTATGATGATGAGTGGACTAGGAATGGTGTGTTTATATCTAGATGTTATTCAGATAATCTGCGGCATTTTTTAAGAGAAAATTCCTGCTATATGTACTATACATGATCATTTCAAGCCATGAAAATGATCAGTTGTGCATAAAAGGACTTTCATAAAACAATTAGAAGATATGAATTACTATGAAGTCTTCAAAGACTTTCAAAAATAACAAGAACTAGGCTTACTTTTTCCTTGATGATCTAAAGCTATCCACATATCATCAGACTTATTATGCTTTGCTAATTCGGCAGAATCAATTTCCATATTTGTTGGTTTTTCAGACAAATACTTTTCACTTTTAGTATAGGCATTCCAATAACCGATACCCCTTAATATAAACAGAATTGACAATTTATAGAATACACATTTTTAGGTAAACAAAAACATGAAAACTTGGTATAAATTGACACAGTTAAATTTATTATGAAAGACTTAGGAATACAACTATTGAACTGATTTAGTTCAGGTAAAAATAAAAACCGTGACGTGATGGTCAAAACAATAGACCACAGTTTCACAGTAACAAGTATCGGATATGGAGTTAGAAGCAAAATAATCTATACACAAATAAATCATCGAATTCGCATGCTAAAAATTACTGAAGTTAAGCGATTAACCTTGTGATAAAGTAACACTTTTCTTGCAAAGTTGTACAAACACTAATTTGTGGGCTGATTCAGAAAGCTCAACTGAGTGAAATTTTAAATATAAAGCAAATAAAACCAGACAATTCAAAATAGATGAAATGCTAAAAAATAATCTGAAATAGCTCAATTTCCAGAAGTATTAAGTTGAGCTACGATAAAACCTCACATTGTTTTAACGAAATGGGACAGTTACATTTATTGTAAAAATTTATCTACCTTTAAAACGTACACTTTTAACGTCCTACTGAAGAAACGAGAACGCAAATGAGATGGACAAACCAACACCAAAAATCTGTCAAAAAACAGGCCCTATCAACATATATGACACTACTTATCCAGTTGCCATGGAGATTTTGGCACCGATGTCCAAACAATCAAGTCGAAAGGGGGGAAACAGAATAAACATACAATGATAGGTCAAAGCTCATAAAACTAATCTCTACCAAAACGATCTAACTAAGCTTAAAATTTTCCATACCGTGAAAAGCTTGTTGGGCACTTGATAAGTAGTTGAAGAGCTCGCTATCATCTGACGGTTATAAAATATGACCGATAAGGAAATAAAAATGGACTGAATATATTTATACGTGCTTGTCTTGAAAACATATTCAATGATGTTCATTACGGCCAATTTAACAAAATGTTTTAGCCAACAAGGTAATTGAGAAGTATGAAAACAAAAACAAAATAACCTTTGTTTTCATTACATAGAAACAAATGAAAACTTTCCTATTTACCAGCCTGTTATGTAAAAACGATGACAAATTCGGAAAGCGTTGAGGAAATACAAGGTATGGTAAAGCTCGCTAAATATTATCTCCTGGTATGCAGTCATTGAGTAGGAATGAAGTTAGTGGTTAGATGTTATGGTACAGAAAAGTGTTATAACTATTTTAGAGGAATTTCATGTACTTTCCCAGGTGTATTTTAGGACCAATCCACAGAGAAAATACAAGAGTATGAAAAGAACACTTTCCTACAAGTTATTTAATTGGTATTGGAATCCCTGAAGTTGACGACATGGATGAACAAAGTCATTACCATTCGTAGACACGTAATGTGATATAAAAGGAACCCGGTTAGTTAACTAAAAAAACTAGGGGAATACGAAAAGGTGGTACAAATTAGAAAATATGAGTCCCTCCTTGAATACATTTACAGTAATTTATTATTATTTTATGTATTATTTTAACACATAGATATTGGTACAAGGAGGCAACAAATACATATGCGCTACACAAATCTCATTTGATATGTATGAGGGCTGTGATACTGCCCAGGTGCCCAAACCGGAGCAGGTGGTTTTCGTAGGAGGCTACACCCAGACCCTTCGACCTAAAGGTCTGATCCACAAAACAGTGGAGCATCGTAAGGAGATGCAGTCCTATGGTAGCCGGTGACCAACGATTTATTCATACGCCACTTTTTCCTTCAGAATACTGGAGCCAGCCCATGTGCACCATTGGTTTGGAATTAGGGTTTTACAACTCCCCTAGGTGGACTCTCCGTGTCCACTAACCCGGATAAAGCGCCGGACATTCGCTTTTCGTCCTCTCATTTTCGTAAACAACACCCGTGGTGCAAGAAGGCAGTGAGTAGGACTTCCCTGGCAGAGGCTATATACGCGTGGCCATGTGAGAGCATTTCGAGAGGGAGAGCAGACTCTCCCCACTCTCAGCCGTACCAGGGCATTTGTAGTAAACTCGAAACAATTTTCAGAACTATTCGAGTTTGTCATGGTATTTTACGTGGTATTTTTAAAAAATAATGACAAATAAAACTCAAATGGAATACGTTGTTCACGACTAGTTTGACTTACGACCCTGATCGGTTTGAGAAAACTGAATAGTCAGTTTTACTATCAACTTGACTACACCCCATGTATTTGAAGAGTGAGGACAATATAAGTGTTAAGGAAGGAGTATTTCGGCGAGACCAAAGTTTATGGACGAGACAATCAAATTTAGGATAATAGGTCCTGGATTTTGAAGCAAAATTTATTCATCCATTTGGCTAAATAGCGTTTTCGCATTTTAGCTTAAGTTCGTTCAGCATGGAAACACTATTCTAATGCCTAGTCTTAACCATCAACTGTAAATTATAATCGTTATTTTTCCCACAGGTTCATAACTCTCATTGTCATCCAGTTAATAGGTGAACATTTTTAAGGTCATTTTAGTATTGCGCAAATGTCGTCCATAAAATTAAGTCCAACCGAATATATTTAAATAAACTAAACTTACATTGAATTCCTGATACGCGACCGTAGTTCTTTGTTATCAACTAAATTGAGTGATATACTGCACTGTGGTCTGTTCTCCATGTTGATAGTGTTTTGAACATTAATAAGAATTGTTACAATCGAAGATTTAGCTAACGAAAACAAAGTATATAGAGAGTTTTAGAAAGTGAATTTATGTCAATTGTTCCAGTCTCCTTATTTTAGGGTTTTCCCCAAAGGCGTAAGATATTTGGTAGTATTCCCCTAAATTTGTGTAAATTTTGGAGGAAAAACCCATGTTATAAGATTCCGGAAAATATTGAAGAAAAACTAAATTTCCGCAAATACCTTGAGAATTTCCCTCAGACCTGAGGAAGCTTTGAATTTTTTTCTCTAATTTCCTCAAAGTTAACTACTACGGCTTTCCAATAACTTCCTCAAAACGGACAAGATTTTCTCTCCAAATAGGAATATTAAGGTTATTATTACTACAGAATTCTGTGAAAACCGAAACATAATTTAGTTTTTAAATGAAGATTTCGAGTATTTTCTGTTATTAAACGTTTCTGAATAATCAATAACTGTTAGGTGAAAGTGCTAGTCAATTTAACAAACAGAATCTGGTGAGAAGTCTTTACGTATTTGCAGATATTCACAAACAGCTTAAGAACACGAATCCAGTCATTAAAATACTTGCCATCCATTATTGCAAAACATATACAATATATACACAAAATATATACAATCTTAGTTCAAAGAATTATTACTAGTCGATGTTGAATATATGTAACGCCAATATGACGAGAGGATTTGAATTCTTGCTTCGGTTACGTCCTTGAGGTTTGGCCTTGACAGGTAAACCCAAAATATAAAACCAATATGTTTTCTATGAACCAATATAAAACAGCGTACAATCCTTGAACTTACTTTCAGTCTAGAAGCCATGAAAGTCTGAATTTCTTGTTTCATTACTGAGAATTCATACCAAGTGACTAGTCCAAATTTCTTTTGAAAGAGATGACCAAAGTTGCAGCCATATGTTAGGATTATGGTTTGTTCATAATTCAATAGGTCACTTGGTGACCGACTAGAAAATAATCGTGTCTTGACCTGTAAAGTCTTTGGCATGTTGCAATTTCCTCGTTTCGAGCGATGAAAATCTTAGTACAAGTAAGACCATAAATAATCGCTGAACATTCTACAGAATTTAATTTACTCACCTCTTGTGTGATAAAAAAAGATAAGTTTCTATGTCGTTGCATTGTAATGATAATTGCTTTGCAACCATTTAAACGCGCTGCTCAGGTAGATTTCTCCCCAGTTATAGTACTTTTTAAAACTCTGCATAATCATAATCACTGTCCATTTATTTACGGCTTGGTTTTGCAGTTAAGTTCACGAGTTTCATCGAATGAACTTATTATTTATTATCCTTTCTGACGGGAGTGACTTCACTTTTCTAACTGGAATTGTAAAATGCTTTTTGTTAGTTGTCAACGGGAAGAAGCACTAAAAACACAATTCTGATATTCACTAACACCGAATACTCTTTCCTGGAAATTTCTGTACAAAAGAAATTTTTCATAGCACATCAGTTGGCCGATACAATGGGTAAGAAAAATATGTGTCATCAAACAAGTGCTTGAAACTCAACAAATTTCCATTGATTTTAGTCGGTAATAATAATGTACTGACCAGCTCAAGCAGCAGAAGTGTTTACAGAGACTGTCTGGAAGAAATTAAGAAAAATGACACAGTAATTGGTTGAAACCATAGACGGCTACAAAATTGCCTTTTTATTCAGGCACAGTGAATGCATGAGCACCAAGGAGAGATAAGGTAATACATAATAATAATTATATACTCATATATTCTATTTAATTAAACGACTTTTCTACTCACACAGCTTCAAAATATGGCAAGTAAAACTAGTAAAAGAGAAAGTTCACCAACTTATAAACCAACTAAAAGGTCAAAATTTGTAACCCCTTTGTCTTCTGAACCGTACGCGTCTTATCCACAAATGTCACCATCACTACCTGATTCTCCATGTAACAACCACTCCATCTCTTTGTGAAGCATGCCAGCGGTAAGGTTGGTTGAAATATAGGGCATGATACCCACGTGCTTCGAAAGGTCGACACAGTCTACCAAACAGCATCTTTACTAAGGCCTAAATCTAAACATTTAAAAACCAAAGCGTCTAATAGTTTATCTTACACATACAAAAATACTGATCGATATAGTACTGATATCCGTCAGCTACAAAACTCTCTAGCCAACACTAGCGGTAGATTTAACCAATTAGCAACCCTCACACATATATGGAACCCTAATACTGATAACAATCTTGGACAACTTACTAAAGCAGAGTGTATTTTAGTTTGTGGAGGAAGAAGTGACGAAAATATCTATGTCATCCTACAATGCAGCTGCATACAATCTCACTGACCACACACATCCAAATAAGTTAAGGGATATTTGCCTTAGCTCATGCAGTATGCTGAACGTCGACTACGAAATCATCCGCCTTATAAAAAAGTCGGATATGTCGACATACCCTCTCCTGTTTAAGTTTAACTGTTGTAACGATGCTCGAGCAAACGTATAAGCATATTAATTCCATACAGGAGCGTAAAAGTTACTCCAGACCTAACGCCCTGCCAATGTCGTGTAAGAAGACATGAAGGGGAAGGACTACATGATAATATTACAGCAAATAACCAACTAGAGACAGGTTGCAACACGGTAAACAGATCAAAGCATATGCGCAATAAGCACGACACCACTCCTAGATGAGTCTGCAGATCTGAAACCTCTGCATAAGATAAAGATCCCAACTGTCAACAAAAAGCATAACGATATTCTTAATCCCAGTTGTTCGCACAGTAAAGTACTCGAAAGTGAACCATGTAACGACACAAATCTAAGTAAACCTATTCACTTGAAAACTAGACCTTTTAAAGCTACACCACAAGATGATTGGACTAAACTTGAATTCATCTCACAAAGACAAAGAAACTCTCCGGCTCTGACGAAAAAGGTGGGCAAGCAAAATCCACCATACCGAATAGGTAAACACGTCAGATTGGACCCAACTGTTCTATGTGCATCCCGAGAACACTGAACAGGTTCTCCCACTGATGTCATATAACTTGCCATCAATACCTCTAAGTGTCAAAACTGGTGGTAGGTCTGAGTGTAACAACACCTTTTACATGCAGACTAGTAAAGACTATCAGATTATCGATCATTCTACTCACCAAATTAAGTCGAAAACCATTAATAAGCATGGTAATAACAGGTCAATCATCCCACACACTATCTACATTCCTCAGGGTCACAATTGTAACTACTCTCAGAAAGAGAACTTTTCATACTCTTTAGTACCAACCCACAACATAAAAACGGCTCCCGTGTATGATAACAGTCGTAGCTAATTCCGGTTATGTGAAGCAGATACTTCTCACATTCACACTAACATAAATAACTATAACAGATGCTACCAGCCTAACCGACAAGACTATTTTGTAAATGACAGTACATTTCACAGCCGGCATGCACCAGATTGTTTTGGAATACAGCCCCTATAAATCATACATTCCTATACATTTCTGCCTACTTTGGTAAACAACTATCCTACATTACACTCTTTTTTTGGAATACGACCCCTAGTGACACCTCTGTTGAAGCATATAGCTTAAGTCATTTCAAACAACATGCAGAACATAAGCTTGCTTCCCCCATACAGTTTCCACCAGAGAATACTCTCACCCTTTCCTCCTGGATAAACTCCCCAATCAACTTCACTAGCTCATTTGATACATCTCCCACTAAGTCTAGCTATCGAAATACCGAGCTATTGAAGAACATCCAATTCCTCACTTTAAACCCATATCACACCCGCGAGGGTTATGACAACTTTATTCGAGATACTCTCACTCTCTCATGTGTCTTATCAACAATAGGTCGATCTGCAATAAAAAGACGGATTTAGCCCTGTTTGTATCCATATATCAACCATAGCTTATAATGATATCTAAAACATGGACTAACAGTAATATTTCCGGCCCAAGTATATCTCTTGATAACTATTTCCTATATAGAAGTGGTAGATTGACAAAACGAGGTGCAGGATGCCTTATTTACACTCACTCTCGAGTATACTCTCTATTATGTAATATGCCTGAACTTGTAGAATTATGGTCTGCTGTGATATTAGTACTGCTCTAATAATAGACCTAATCCTAAAATCGTAGATTTGTCATGATTTAACTGCCTGATCTATAAGATCTTACGTGGAAGTTGCATCATCGTCTACACCAACTCATCGTATTGTACCAATACATGATGTAGAGCAAGCTTAGGCAAGAGATAGAACAATATATCTAATATGAACAAAAGATATAAGATAACATTCAACAAGGACCACGCCGGCATGACCGAGCCATGCCATTCGATCAACTCTCATTCAACTCCTTGTTCACGTCTTCCCCATCATTAGGTATTCCTCCGCATTAAATATTGAATATCTATTTTCTGAGTAGTCTCGTGTTCAGCTTTGAGGATTGTGTGGTTATGGTCCAATGCCACCACAGAGTCATCCAGGAAAGTTTATTAGGTTCACTTTCGTTTCTTATGTATATATACGATGTATGTAGCATCATAATATCTAAAAGAACACACTTATACGCCGATGATCTAAAAATAGTATACGGCTTTAAGCCTGAAGCTCCAAGCAAAAGTGTATCTTAGATTCAAAGTGACCTCAATAACCGAACTACCTGGAGCAAAAAATGGTAATTACCATTTAACCTCAACCAGTGTGCGATCATGCATTTTGGGAAATATCCCTATGGTTTGGAACTTTAAGTAAAATTAGGGTTCAAACATTCTGATTAGTGCACAATCTAGGTATTACCTACACGGGAAACTCAAATTTTGAAGAACATGTCTTCTTTATTATTTCTAAACAAAGACGGCTAATTGGTTTCATAATGAGAGGTTTCTTCACAACAGAGGCTAAACTTACCATTTACAAAATATGTACACGACCCTCCCCTGAATAGTGCTCTTTTATCTTCTCAAACACGAATACCACA